CAGGCTGCCATTCGTGAGCCCCACTAAACAGCAAGAGTGAACAGTGCAAAAAAGAGAAAAGACACACCTTCTTCCTGCCCTTACACTCTATGTCAGCCCTGCCCTTGAGTGGGTGTAGCATTCACATCACCAATCCCAGTGGTAGACAATGAACCAATTATGAACGCTGCATTCTATAAGGTCCATGATTGCATGAGCATTGGGGGTTGGGGGGCATCAGAACACAAACCATAACAATAGATAATAGGAATAAAAAGAAAAGAGAGATCGAGTGAGGGATACGGTGTATACTGAAAATGCATCCCAGAGGAGACAGAAGGGAGGGGAAGATAAAAAGTATTAAAATGTGTTTATGCACGTACCAATTCCAGAGGATAAATCTAAATACTATATACTGCAAACATGCACTAATAAAAGCAGAAAACAAACAGGAGACATCATTTTTAAATTGCTGTAAAAGAGGCTGTAATTTAACAGGGTTTTAAGGATTCCCTTTTGCAGAGAGCAAGGGACATACTTGATTTCTAGGCACAGGAACCAAAGAAAAAATGTTAGGGGTTGAAAGCAGGCAGAGAAGCTGACCTCCTTTATGTATGTGTTAATTCCTTAGATTATAAATTTCTTAACTCAGAAGAAAGATCTTGAAATGCCAATCATAATATGGTTTACATATTTTGAAATGAAAAAGTCTTAATAATACAAGTTTTGATTTTCTATATTACTCAAATAAAATGATGAGTTTCCAAGTATTACTTGGACAGTAAAATAAAGTGCTACATATATTTTGTCTGAAATGAAAAATTACTAACTTCCAGGAGTTGAGGAGTTGGGTGTTCTATCATTGAAAAAATCTGGAGACTGTGCCAAGCTTCTTTCAATGACTTTTCCGCAAATTTAACCTCTGAGTGGCCCCTCTCTTTTAATGTAAACCAGATCTCTTTTATGTCTTTTTCTTTTCTTAAATGTATGATTTTTGCTCCCCTTAAGTAGTCTTCTTTGATAAAATCTGATCATTTTTCTGGATATTTAGTGGAATACTGATATGGTTCAAAGTCCCAGTTGCTATTACTTTGGTGAACTTTTCTATGGTGTCAGATGAGGAAAATCATACAAAAGCAAAGAGAATGAAATGTGTTTAATGTTTACATGAGCCCGCATGTAATTCTAAGTCAATTCCTGTATGAGATTTGGTGGAGAAAATTCATTCAAAAGTAACACAGGCCAACTGACTGTTTTCATGCACAATTACCCTAAATAAAATTCATAATCTTTGGAGGGCCTCTATCATGTCTTTTATTTTGGGCACCTTCTTGGAGCTCTGGGCTTACAATTAGGCTCTTCACAGCTTACTTTAAAGCTCAGCTTTTAGAATTGCTGATTATTCCTTAAGTATTATTAAGATATTATTGCCAAATATCTTTTGAGTTCAACTGATACCAACAACAAATGTAAAAGTCCTGTAAAAGTCAGATGAAAGTCCTGTGATTCATTAACTGTCATGAAAATTTCTAAACTGAGTTTCTAACTCAATTTGTTTGATTAACTATAAATAAAAAGTTTGAGATAACAGTAGGACTTTGACAATTAATCTAAGGGCATACTTTTGCTACAGTAGCATTTATTTTAGTGATATAGTACCTGAAAAGATTACCAAAGAGAAACTGAACTTTAGCATAACTTAAATGCATGAAATTGTTTTTACTAGACTTCATTGTTACATTTCTTGTGCCAATGGAAAGATAAAACAATTAACTGTTATTAGTTTCAAAAATCAATGGTTTGATCATCACCAACTTTTACATATAAATAAGCAAAACAGTTGTCTCTCATTTTAGTATGGTGTTTTATATTATTTGTGACTTTCAGTGGTTATTTGGATCAAGTGTTATATTTAGTCAACTGTTAATCTTTACTATTTTAATGAGTTGTCCATTAAGAACACCAGTTTAAGAACAGTTACTCTCAAGTGTGGATGGTTTTGATGACAGCCAATGTGGAACTGATTCTTTAGCTCAGTGTACTACAACTGATTATTTGCTAATCTAATGAGGACAGTAGTACACATCTGCATCTAAATATGGGATGGAGTATTTCATATCAAGTTTATGTGTTCCTATCCATGCAGCTGTCATTGGAGCAATCACCATCCTGTATGCCAACTGTCAGCCCAAGCAACACCAGAAGCTTTCGCCCTTGAAATAGGTTATTCCAGAGCAAATGGTCCAAATCCAAAATCAAATGTCCAGAGTAGCCTGGGGTTGATTCCAATCTCTAAAAACTCTGAAAAATTTAAGTCTATTTGAAGGCACTGTGCTTTAGGCTTTCTCCAAGAATTCAAAGAGTCTAGGCTAAGCACTCAAAGCTATCATTAAGCAAGTCTCTACAGTTGCTCCCTGCTTTAGGCAGACTTCAGAATTACGGTCATAAAAGACGCTTCACTCAGTGAGGAAGTCAGGATTCCTGGTAGGCTGACATGTGCCAGCCTGAGAAAGTTCAAATAAATACTAACATAGAGCAAGCAAAGTTGGAGCACAGTGAGTACATGATTTTCTACATCATTCATTTCTTACCTTTCTCATGTGCCCTGAAGATTCACATGAAGAAACTGCCTAAACTGATGTTTAATCAAGAAGATGAGCGTGATGATAGAGAACACAGAAATGATCTACAGCGAAAGTGGAGGAAAAACATACCCAGGACAAAGATGGGGACTAAATCGGTTTGTCATTGTTGCCTGTAAGTTAGTGCAATAATAGAAAGTCACAGTTTCTTTATCCATCCTTTAGTTCTACCTAAAGTTAATGAAAGCTTAAAGCTTGACTCAGTTCTGGTCCCTGGGGACCTCTTTCTAGCAGTAGAAACTGTTATGCTTCATTGGCCTTTTGAACTGAGGCTCTGATTCGCCACTAAATGACATGTATGTGGTATGACTGTTAAATTCAGTGTTTGGATCAGTACTGGGTACCTATAGTGCAACTTTTGTATACCTGAATAGCATGATTTGGCAAATTTTTCTACGCAGGGCAAGAGATTATGAATCTTTCTGGGTCATGCAGTCTCAGTGCCAACAATTGACTTCTCCTTTTATGATGTGAAAGAATTCATAGACAAAATAGCAGTTCATGCTTATGGTTGTGGTCCAATAAAACTTTATGAAGTATATATGAAAATACATTTGTACTTGGCTTTTACCAATTATTGACCCCTGTGCTACATCTGGAATAGACTACTAATATTTACAATCTCAGATATTCTTAACAAGCTCATGTAGTTGGCCCCAATTATTTCAATTTTGAGGACAAAAACAATGAATTTCAGAGAAGTTGAAAAATGTGTCATAGCTAACAAAAGTTTCATAGCTAACAAGAAACAAAGCCAAGATTCAAATCTTCGCAATCTCTTTCCTGTTGCAATCTAAGGGGGACTTTTACTATCCTATGGATATCAGCAACTAACGCCCTCTTTAAATGCTCATTCCTCTAAATATCAGTTACGACAGAAATCTTCTAAGGTTTTGATGAAACCGGTTATGGTTTTACACAGAATAATGATATAATTGCATATAACAGAATGTCCCTTGAGCCAGGAGTGCTGCTTGCCAATGAAATGGTGGTTTCAGCTGATTTGTTTCTATCCCCAGCTGTCCTTTTGGCTCCGCTCATCAATTCTTTCTGGTGTTCTGTTTTAGCTTCCAGTGCTTATTGTCTGTATTGTTATATTCCAGGATGAACTGTGGTTGCCAAGTTAAACCAGTTAATAAGACAAACTAATTTGAGGTTAGTAGGTTTTGGCCTATGTATAGAGTTCATGCTTCTTTTCTGTATTAGGTTGAACCCTGTGAAATTGCCACATTTGTAGGTCAAAGTGGCAGTTTCATATGGTTCAATGTAATATTAGAGAGCACAGACCCTGTGATACACATTTTATCTGGTACCCACGAGACTTTTCTTCTGTTTACTTCACAGTTCACTGAAGTGCTGCAGATGATTAAAGCAGCACAAAGTGAGCTGCCAAAAAGGTGAGCCATGATATAATAATTTCTAACATTCACTGCATTCTATAATGCCAGGGTCAGCGAGCCAGAAGTGCGTTAGACTGCCCTTCTGTCAGTCACCTATAGACTGAAACAGTTCTCATCTCTACTTTTCAAAATTCACCTTTGCAGAGCTTTTGCAAAATTAGCTCCACAACCCTTCTTGTTAGTGACACAAAGTAGTCATATGGGCTTAATGGATTCACAAGAATGTGAGCGATCTACTTAGTGAAATGAAACAGACATGAGACAGAAACTTGGAAATGGGAAAAATACCTCTCAAGGCTCCCAAGATATTAGAAACTTCATTTAAAGCAGAGATTCATCAAGAAAATACTAGGAAACACATCACATGCTCCCCTCAGTTCCAAACTGATATTATTTTCCAAGGGTTTCATGTGAGTATGCACACAAATCTGTATTTATACTTCTAGATGGCTGAGCTATTTTCACTTATGCTAGAAGAAAAATTAATCAATTTTGGAAAATTAAGAGATAATAAAGATGTGTTGTCTCTAGAATCAAACATGTATGAGTAAACAGTGACTGACTTCATTGATCTCAGAAGATAAAGAATCAATATACATTAAGCTTTGGGTGGGCATGGTATCACATGCCTGTAATTCCAGTGTTTGTGAGGCTGAGACATGAGCAGCCTTATGAATTCAAGGCCAGCCTGCATTACATAGTGAGGCCAGCTTGAACTACACAGAGAAACCTTGTCTCAAATACAATACAATACAGTACAATACAATATGATATGATATGATAATGATATGATATGATACGATAAAATAAAATAAAACACCAGAAATAGAAATTAATGAAAGGGGCAGACAAACTTGTAGAATAATTTACTCCCCAAGAAAGAAAGAAAAAAATTTCTAGCTCTATAGAACATTTAAGCATTTTTTTGGAAATCTGTAGAAAGTTCAACTTAATTAGATATAAAGTTTTTAATATTTACCTTGTTCTCCACCTGGACTCCATCACCTTCCCCAAGCACTGCTGTGTGATGAGGTTCTATTTTTTGTTGCTCATCATCAGGCCCTAGAAAAAGGGTGACCTTTAATACCTATGATAGCATATTTATCCTATGGCTACACGTTGGTCAAATACCACCATAAAATTAGCTTCAATTTCAGAACTAACAGACTCAGAATCCTCTTAAATTTTAGTTAATTGTATCTGCTATTATTAAAGGCTAAAATTGGTTGGGGTTCAGTGCAGAAAAGAATAGACTGGTAAACTTGCAGTGTGTTTTCATTTATACTTTAAATTACATGCCCTAATAATTCAATTGAAAGGCAAAGAGTTTGGCATTACATATCATATGAGTGTGTCCTTGGGTAAATTATAAACCTCATAAGAAGTAAACATGCTTAGAAAAATTATCAAGTGCCATCATTAATAAATTTCAACAAGTATTGAGCACCTACAAGTACCTAGTACAAGGCAAAAACACAAAGAAGGACAAAGTAGATTTCTTGCATACAAGTAATTCAAAATCACCCTGGGGTAAATGAAATATATGCACACAAAATAACCAGAGACGAATTCATCTGAAAAATAAATAAATTGGATAGTCATTGAATACTAGCCATTAATTTGTGAACAAGGCCTTGTTCTAAACATGGTACGGAGGTCTTCAAGATGTAAATTTCTGTACTAAGGCCACAGATGAAATAACACGAATGAAATTGACACTTGAAGGTAATAATAAGTTACTCATAAATGTATCGAGAAAACAGGAACCCTGAAAATTTGTTGTGGGAGACGTAAGTCTAGAACAGAGAAGAATTACATAGGCCTAAAAGGGGACAAAGCTGGGAAAGGGGACATTTTAGAAAAGCAGATAGATAAGGTAAGTGTAACTCATGGGCATTTCTAGAAAAACTGTAAACCTTCTACCACTGCTCAAACATTCCTCTGGAAAGAAAGATGAAAATGCAGTCTGGTTTTAAGTCTAAGGAAACCTTAAACATCATGCTTCTCTGTGTGAATCTGAGAGCCACTGAAGAGGATATGTGAAATTATCCAATCCGTGTCTTGGAAAAATAATTCTGGAAGTAAAGTATAGAGTGAATTGGAGGGAGCAAGACCAAAGTTATGATGAATTGTTAGGAATTTGCTGCCACAGTCTAAGTGAAAATGAGCTATAATCTGAACTGGGAGAGTGAGAATTGCTAGGAATGGGTTAGAAACATAGTGCTGAAAAAGAATCTAGAGGACTTGGCAACAATGGGAGAGAAGAGTCTAACACGATTGTCACAGGAAAGGGAGCATGTGGTGACCTAATGATTACAACAGAAGTTCTGCAGGAAGAGGCTGGAGGCTGGAGGAGCCAAGGTGGGTGAGAACAGCCACAGAAAGCTGGAGAAATGTGAGATTTGGGGTGGGTCTTACATTTGGGTAAAAAAAAAAAAAAACATAGCCACATGAATGAATGATAGAGGACAGATTTAAAATAGTGTGATCAACTTTTGTTTTGGAGGGGTGATCAACTTTTGTTTTGGAGGAGTGACCAACTTTTAAAGATATTTAAAGGTCTGATGTCTATATTATATTCGGGGATATGAATAAGGGCATTCACTTGACCTGCTGGAGCTAAAGTTTAATAATTATGAAATAACTTTAAATGAAAACAGTAGGCCAATGAATTATTATAGAAACAGAAAAATAATTTAAGAATTTGGGGCATACTGGTTGAAGCCCAAACATAGCTATATTTTGTAGAGATGTCTTCCTTTTCATTTCTACTTTGGTGAGACATCAGGAGTCATGCTGATGCCTGAAAATATGAAATAGGATTCTGATAGTGCAAGAGTTATCAACATGGAGTCAAAGTGCTTTCCAAGGCTCTGCACACAGAATTCAGGGTGTGACACATACATTTTTACTAACACCAATATTGAAATATAGCTTTTCTTCAATCATGAATGTAGTTAACAAACCACACTAGTACTAGCTAGAGTGATGACTTGGTCACTCCTACTGGAGTAAGTTTAATATCATGCTAGTATTGTAGATGTCTCAAAATACAGTTTCTGAAAATCATGACTTAGAATTAAAATAGATCTACTGCTACAGCAAGTTATTTCGAATATTACCAGAGAAGCACACACAAAACTGTATGAAAAACTTACTGTTAATGAGATAGGAGTCAGGGTATGGCTTAGGTTAGCTGGGAAGAGAGGCATGCCAGGATTCCAGGATCAATACAGCCCCGCCTCTCAAGACTCCCATATGTAGAACTTCTCACAGGTTCCCACACGTTGTGCATGACATACAAGGACACAGACGCCAGGAGAAGTCTGTTGCCCTTGACTCTTTTCAGTAACCGGCCCTGAGTCTCCTAAACCCAGGGTGTACTTTTCTATTTGCTTTTCTAATTTCCTCGCTTGTGCAGCCCAGGTTTGCTTTCCCTCATCCCCACTTCTCAAATAAAATTTTAGCACTGATTTTGCCTTGTGTTTAATTTTTTGTTCAAGGTAAGGAGGACCTGAAATACATTTATTTGGTGAGCCATTTCTAAAACGAAGTATCCAGTAACATTATCCTAATAACTTCACTGAATTTAAAAATATTCTGTGGCGGATGCTTGGCAGATGTCAAAAAAGTCCATGGGACAGAAAAGATTAAGAAGCTCTGTCTCAGGCACGGTGGTGTGCTAGTAAATGTTTAATAACCAGCTTTTCCGGCACTAGGGGGGAGAATAACCTTAATATGTAGTGTGTGACAATTTTCATGGTGTAAATTCTTGTTTGGGCAATTTCAAGTTACCAGCATGAGGTCAGGAACGTTATTCACAATCAGCTCTTGCAGCCTGGCAAAGGTCAGCCCTAGCATATACTAAATGTTTCTTTTCCATCAAAGATACAGGTCAGAAGATGTCACATGCATGTGTAAAAATGCCACAACAAGAAAGATATAGGACCACAGATGTCAGAGAAGTAAATGATAGGACTCAATTGATTTTTCACTTATTCAGGACTTGGCAATAAAAGAAAAGTCTGGGAGTTAGAGAATCACATTTAGAGTTGGCTAATATTTAACTGTGATGTGGAGCAACATTTTTATTAGGTGTGCTTTACTGCGATCTCCTGGGAGCAATGAGCCATGTCTTTCTTTATCTTCAACTAATTCCTTCATAACACGCATTACCCATGTGGTCCATTCCTTGGCCCTCCTTGTATCATGCAGAATGTCTTATGAGACATAGACTAAAACATTTTATAAATTCCTTCACTATTTCAGTAAAGTGAGCTGACAACAGATAGCCCTTCAAAATAAGCTGAGCTGGTATTTCTCTATACCCCTATCAGGACAGCTTGTTTGACAGCAGTGTTCATTGACTGGTTTGTAAGGAAGTCTTAACTTAAGAAACAAAGGGTTCAGCTTGTTCAAAGGACTCTCATGCTAACTTCATATGGGATGCAACTGTTGCCCATTCCTCTCACTGATGTGTGAAAGAAATCACAGTGGTGATATACAACAAAGCCATTTGAAATGCTCCACCGTGGGGCAGAGCTTTCTTATACACACTGGAGTCAAGTTTCCAGGTTAATAATCTTAAGTGTACCTTTCATCTCTGTTATTATATGAAATGTCTAAAACAGGGTCACAGCAAAGACTGATTCTATCTCCATTTCCAGGTCATTCCTATGATATTTCACCCATCTGGTTATCTCCTGAAACTAAAATAAGTCTCAAAGAAAATACATTTAATTGTTTCTGACTACTTTCAACTATAAAAAGAGCCAAATCAGATAGTAAATAGTTTCCATTGGAAATCTTTGCCAGGAATGTTAAACTTAGTAGTGCATTTAAGGAAAATTTAATTAAAAACAATTTAATTGCAATTTTTTTACCTAATCATAAAAGGAAAAAAATACCTTAAAACTTATTTTAAATTTAGCTATGTTAATTGTAATACATCCTTTCTGCATGAGCCGACTTTCTTTTTTCTGTTTGTCCTTTTCATAAGAACTGCTGGCTCACTTACTCTGTGCTCCACACACTCTGATACAGCCATTGGAGCTTTGGACCCCATCAATTTTATATATATATATATAGGTTGAAGTCTTCTAACCTGACAGAGATTTTTAATTGAAAAAGACAAACTGCCTCAAACACTTTTATTTTAAAGTGTAAATGTGCTTTCCTTTACAGTTTTATAAAGGAAGTTAAAATGAGTCTGCTGATAGGTTAGAAACATTTTCTTCCTTTTTTAAAGCACACTCATTGTGTACCACATAAATGTCACTAGATTATTAGTTTCCCCTAATCTCTTACTGTCGTCTCTCTCATATTAATTCAAAGACATTTGAATTACCAATTCACCATACTACGCATTTAACTAGAAAAATGACCTCTTTTCATTGCTTATTTCATTAATTTTCATACTGTCTAATTAAATTACACAGTGGCAGTTATTGGTGCACTGGCTGGAACGCTCAGAGAAAAACAGAACATGTTTTAAATGCACTACAACTCTGCTATTGCTAGGCCTCTTCCTCAAGGCTCTGGTCAATCCAGTTAGTGGAGTAAGTGGAAGACAATCAAGAGGGCTCCTGTTGTATACATGTGTGTTTCCCAAGCTTTATTGTGATTTCCAAGGACTCCGTTAAAGTTCGTACCACCCAGAACTGCAAACGAAAGTTGAGCATTAACTAAGCATGAATAACTACTTACTTAAATACGCGAAGACATTTTACTGTCTTCATAAGCCACTTAGCTATCATTTCAAAAACCACAAACAAATACTTTTTTTATATTTCTGAAAGTGTTTTTTAAAGCACCAAACAGTACTACATGACGTTGAGTATTTTAAGGGACTGGCATTCAAGATGATAAAGTGTACCAAGCTTCAAGGACACAGGACATAAACTCTTCTACCCTTCTGACTGCTGCATTAATTTAACCTAACTAAATCTATCAGTGTCCTTTTGAAGCACATCTTATAGCAATTAATATTTTAAATGGCCCTCTTAAATTTCCACTTAATGCAGTCTCCCCAGATTATTTTTTCAACTCAAATTGCAGCCTATTTATTCCATCCGATCTCCTAATGATATATTTACAATATTTACTGCAACAGACTGGAGGGGCTAGACATTCTGAAAAAGACAATTTAACTTGTTTATCAGTTCCTGCCATCTGTGGTTGGCTGGTACCATTCTAGCTTTTTTTTTTTTTTTTTGTACCAGGGATCAAACTCATGACCTTGCACTTGCCAGGCAAGTGCTTATGTCACTGAACTAAATCTCCAGCCCCCATTCTAGTTTTATAAGCAAGAAAAAATTGAGGCAATAAAGTCAGAAAGCATTTTCTGAATTTTCTCTATTTAAGAAATCAGTACGCATTCAACAGCTATGTCTGTTTTGTCATTTCTTTTTCTCTGTGATTTATTCTTACATTTCATTTTTTGTTTTTCTCATTAACACTCCTGCTGGGATGGGTAGGAGGAAGGGAGGAAGATAAAATTCAAATGAAGTCATTTGGCCGGTTGCTCATTGGTTAAAGCAGAGTCCTAAGAGGCTAGTTTTGAGAGTTGGATTCTCTCCCTGGTCCAGTTTACTCCAGACAAATGCAACTTCACTCAAGGACACAGATTATAACAATATCTCCTGCCAGCTGTTTTCCACTTGTGGTCCACAGGATCAGGCGAGGGAGTAGAAATGACTCAGGAAAACCCTGCCTCACCTCAAGAAAAACAAGTAAATGTGAGGGTCACTCTCACCCTGAGAATTTACAGGGCTTTTCACTTGTGAACTTCTGGGATGAAAAGTCTGTCATAAACCAAGCCTGCAACTACTGATTTAAAACTTGCTTTGAAACTTACTTGTAAACTTTTCTCGGTTTTATCCTCTGCAGTGTCACTGGTACCAAAATCAATTCCCAGCTGCTATAGAGAATGGTCATTACTTTTTTAAATGGGTGAAAAAAATTTAAAATAGTATTTCATGATAAATGACAAATACATTCACATAGAGTATCATGGAACGGTCATCTGTTTATTTACCTATTGCTTCTATGCTACACAGGCAGAGCTGAGTAGTTGCAACAGAAGCTGTACAGCCCGCCGAGATGAAAATATTTACTACCTGGATCTTTACAGAAAGTCTGTTTCTCCCTGCTTTTCTTATTTTTGCAAGCATTTCTGCACTCCTTACCACCTTAGAGTCCATGCATTTTCTGTATTACTTTCCTTTTGCACAGATTATCTTCTGCTCTCAAAATCATAAAACAAAGGGGCTACCTCCACAAACATGTTTTTTTCCCTATTCTTATAAAGCGTTATGTGATTCTTGGGAGTTTCAACAGATCATAAAAACAAATAATGTCTCATCACTTCCAGGAGGTGGCTAATATAGTTTAATATGAGTGCACAGGGACTTATGATACTACTACTAGATTTTTTGTATTTCATTGAATGCTAAAATACATAGACTTTGCTTTTGAAATGCTACTCAGTGAAAAAGGAATAAAGCCCGTTTATACTATATCAGGAATGAGTTCAAAATACCGTTATTTTCAGAAGAAAATTTTCAGGCAATTAAACGCTCTTTGAGGAAAACATAAAGAATGATTTAACTAAAGAGCTCTGAGTTTAGCCTCAAACAGATGTTATCACAAGTCATCTGCCTGGCTGTGATAGTGTATTGCCCCAGGAGGTAGCCTTGTTAGGGGTCACAAAGTTCATCACTGAGATCCCTGTAGAAGCAGGACAGAAAGCATCCAACCACAGAAGGCCTCAACAGTGGGGATCCTCGGTTTGTACCTGGGATGCTCCACACCACCCATCCTTGTTACTGGGAATGAGGAGGGGAAATGGGAGGATGTTTCTCCTACTTTGGGTTTTTCCATGTTCTGGGGCAAAGAGTTTATTTAGGAGGTGATCCCAAGGAACAGTAGCCCGAAAGTCAGGAGAGTCAGACAAGAAGGGAAGATTCACACTTCAGGTGTCTCAACAAGCACACTGCAACTGCAAGCAGCTTGGCATGCTCCTACCTGGAAGGTCTAGGAACAGGCCTCTCGCACAGGCCTCTCAGGTATCCCACCCAAGTCAGGTAGTTTCTAGAATGTTAATTCTCCAGGCATTTCATGCTGCCTGGTAGAGGCAGAGCAGCTTCCCCAGGTATCAGAAAAAATGCCACAGATCCAAGCAGCTGAAAGTTGCTCAGTGGCCACTGAGGAGGTAAGAGCCCGGTGATACAGGAGGGGGACTAACAAACAGCATCTGCTATAGTAGTCCTCTGCCAGTCTTTCCCTGGAACCCATGGCTGCTTCTAGGAGGATGGGAAGGGTCAGAGTGGATGCAGGCAGGAGCCAGCCTGCTCGGCAAGCCCTTCTCTCCAACCTGCTATTCCTTGGCTCATCAGCTGCTCAGTTGACTAAGGGATTTTTATTTGAAATGACAAGACAGTGTGGCTTCTCACTGTCACTGGACAGACTGTAAGGAGCAGCATGGAAACTGGGATTGAGAATCCTGTGGTTCTAGTCCCAGCTCTCCTGATGCACATTTCTTTAGATTTCACATTGCTTACCTATAAAATCAGGGTCGACTGGTTCTCCAACATCCTTTCTTGACTAGACTCAATAAACAGTTCATATGCAACCCTTAGAATAGGAGAAAACCAACCCTGAGATATCTTAGATGCTTCTGAGACTTCTAATCTACCCCTTCTACCTCTCAAGAAACAGACAGATTCCTGCTCCCATTACAGCCTACTATAGCTCCATCCCTATGTCAGTATGAAGGTTGCCAACCTCTTATGAGGTGTCACAACACATAATTGTACACCTTTTGTCTGTACACAGGGTGCAGTGAATTAGGTGTGTCATGACTGGTATTATGTTCTCCTTCACTGAACATTCTGGCAGCTGTGACAGCTTGTCCTGGGGATGGATATATATATATATATATATATATATATATATATATATATATATGGATTGAGAGGGCTGTTGTGAGAGAAGAAAGCATAGCATTAAATGATTTGGAAAAATGATTTCAATCTACCTTTCACTCCCTCAGTACTAGAAATCAAATTGAAACTGAAGCCAAAGTAAAGTATTTCCAACTTACCAATGTACACAGCTCCAGATATGGTATAAATGAAGCTTGTCCATCCTGGAAAAGAACCAGAAACATAAAAATGTTAGTGTCCTTAACACCAAAGGAATTAGACATGAAATTCATTATTTCTTTTTTGACATATATTTTAAGATTCTGATTCTGTGAGTTGCTTAAAATGCACACACACATGCACATGCACTCCCCTGACACACACATACACACATACACGAATATATTCTTAAACCTAAAACCTTGGTTTCCAATGTTTAAGCGCCACCCACAACCGAAGTGTACAATTCATTTGACTGTACAACTATAAGCCAAATTTTGTTTTCACAAATGATTTCTTCTAGTTCTAACATGCTATGAACTGTAACACTCCAGTCAAGCTTGGCCTTCAGTGTGTGGTGCCACCACATAGTCTGAAGTGTGAATAATAATAAAGATATGGGGTTTTTGTATTTAACTGAATTCTACTGTCCAGGAAGCTTATTCCTTTGTATCTATCCTAATACAGAGTATATATCAACTCCCTGGATGCAGGGATGCAAAATCTTTGGGGAGGGGGTTTAATGGACTTCAGTTGGCCTGTGAACTCCTTAGAACTGCCCACACAGTTTTCAAGTATGTGCATTTTTCTGAGAAGAGGGTACCTAGCATTCACCAGATTCCTATCATAACCCATGGGGCCCAGAGCCAGATCCAGTGACAACCTGTTATTTGCACTCGTGGCACCAACATCTGATTTTCATGAATATGTATGTACTGAACCCATGGCTCAGAAAAGATGCTGTGTTTCCACTGAGAGACATCAATCTCAAAATGGAAAGCTCCAGCTGGAGTTAAGATATCACTCCATATGTCTTCGGTGAAAAAAGAGATCTGGAAAAGAAATGCAGGGCAGAGGTCACAGCCGAAAGGACAGGGCCCAGACTGGTGTCTTCATGAAACTCAACAACATGGTGACAGAATAAACAAAAGCAGGCACAGAAAAAGAAAGAAGGACGAAGTATATTCTAAGGGTAGTTGTGATGATGGATGGGTTCAAAAACCCAAGAATGGCACAAAACAAAAACTATACCTGGTAACATTTTAGCCTAAATTGAGTCTCATTAAGAAAACCTGAAGGATGACCAACCAAACACACAGGGACAGATGCCAGAGGATATTTTTTCTCCTATTCAGTTTTTCCACTCTGAGATTTTACTATAAAAATTTTACTCCCTCTGGAAATAATGCTATTATTTACTCATTGACCATATGCTTTTTCCCTCTCATACAGTCCTCCAAGCTCAGTCCCATAGTTGATCGAACATGTTCCATGGGCATGCATTGTGGTGAGAGGACATATAAAATTCAGGAAGGCACAGGAAGAGGTATTCATTTGGAAAACCCTGGGAATGGGGGCAGAGGTTTACTGTACATGCTGAAGACACATGCCAACAACTTATAGCCTCATTCTAGAAGTCTTTTCTAGAGGGATTTGCTTTCCCAAGGCATTACTTTCTCTGTTTTCTAAAGGATGCTCAGCTTTCCTATTCCCATTTAGCTGTGTTATTGAATAGTGCAACAAAATTCCTTTTTTCTTTAGTTTTTTTTTTAAATTCTGCCACTGAAAATTACTGGGATTTATTTCCCTAAGTGCAAATGCCTTTATTTTTCCTGATTAAAAGAGAAATTTTTATGCTCATATCTTGTACCCCAAGCAACTACTTTGAAGATAAAAAATATTAGCTACTGCTGTTCTCCTATTATTTTGTTATGAATTTCTTCCCTTTTTCTCATAAAATAAAAAGGAAACACAGTTTAAGGATAGGGAAGCAAGGAATATCTAAACTGCAATTCTTTCTGCTATCCCCATACCTACCCTGACATAAGCAGGGTTAACAATTTCATGTTGGTTCTTCCAGGTTCTTCTTTCATGCTCTATAAAATCTTTGCTTAAAAATGACAACAAACTCAATGCCCCACTTTCAATACCCTGTCATGTAAAAACCAAAGAGCAGAAACTCTTCCTTGGGAAAGATTGCATAGCATTCCACTATAAAGATGTAATGAAATTTATAGCGCCAATCTCCCCCTCATACTTTCATGATATTAAAAAATTAATCACTTTTGCATTTGATGAAGACTAAAAGCTCTCAAGTGCTCAGAAGAGCTTTTATTTGGGATCATTTTAATTGTTCCATTCTCATTTCTGCTCCACCTCCTTTGCTTCCTGATTAGCCTCTAAGCAGAGTCTGGCACAAACAGTTGCCCAGGACTAATTTTTTTCTTTCTTAAATATTTTTACATGACCCAGAAGGACAAAACATTGGCTTAAAGGAATGGCCAAGGCAGTTTTTAAAATGCATTCTCCTATTTTTGCTCCTTATTGAAGTATTGTATATGATGTAGAGTCTGTCCTTACCGGTTAGAATGCAATTCATGTTGCTGGTTGGAAAGCAAAGTGTTAAAAATAATGGACTAGGAACACTGAGCAATTTTCCTTTTATCTTCTCCTCAGCATGGTGTTCACATGCTTCTATTAAGCCTTGCCTAATTTCCATTAAGCACTTCTTCTTAAGACTGTCTCATAAGAAAACAAATGCCAAATTGTGGGAATGTGCGCTGTAAAAGAGCAATCATGCTGTATGTTTATGAATTTTGTTGGAATTATTTCTCTGCTAAGATCAGGACTCAATCAGCAAAACACTCTCCTGTGGAAATTTCATCTTTATACATCAACTCTCCTTCCACTTTTATGTCCTGCACCAGGAATTGATGCCATTCTTAATTTTTTATTGTTTTGTCAGAATCACACACCTTACATTTTCCTTTCATCTACAAGTGTGGCTAGCAAGCTACTGTCTTTCTGCCCTTGGGCAATAATAAATGAGTTGAGAGAGAGACCATATTTTTCCTTTTGCTCCTCAGGATGATTAAATCAGTTGGCAACACATGTAAGTCAGATCTCCTTTAGCCAAAGATAAACATATACAATGCTTCTTTGAAATATGCAAATCATATTCTATGGTACTAGCTCTCACTTCCAGGGAGGTTCCTAATTGCAAACATTCCTAGTGAGTTTCTCAGCCTACATTCCTTGGCTTAATCCCGATCTTTTTCCTCCTGTCTCAGTCTTAGAGTTCATTATTCCAGTGGATTTGCAATTATCCCCTATACATGTACATGGAGAGAAGATAAAAAAGATAGTCTGCGGAAGCACCAAATGCATAACACAGCTCAAGGCTGTGGAGGAAAGGAAAGGGGCAGTGGGGCTATGAAATGGTTGCCCCTCTCCCCAAACTCTGGGGCACATTTGTTGCCATATCCCAAAGCATCCCTGATTCCAACTCCCTCACCCTGTACCTAATGCCTGGGCCAGGAGGCAGACCTGCCTACTGCTTCGCTCTCTGGCCTTCCTCCAACAAATTATTTTCTTTATCATTTTTACCTTGAAATAATTTCACACATGCAGAAAAGTTACAAAAATACTACAGAGAGCTGGGTACACTGTTCATTCAGCTCCCCCAAAGCCATCATATTATAATATATGCTTTATCATTCTTCGTTTTAAATGTCGTTCTTCGAAATATTTCATAGTAACTTGCAGATACGATGCTTTGATTTGCAGTATGTATTTCTGAAAACATTTTCCTAAAAGCCATAGCACTCATACAAAAATTATGAAGTTAACATTGGTACAATATTATTACTATACTTATGTGCACATATTCAAATTGTGCCTTTTGTCAGAGTAATGTCTTTTATAAAGGAAAGAAAAACAAATTCTCAGGCCAGAATCACATGCTGCATGTAAGGTCATGTCTAATCTTCTTGCATCTGAAATAACCCCCAGTCTTCTTTTTGTCATTAAAAGTAAAGACCATTTATTTTATGAAGCATCCCTTAGTTCAGGTTTGATGTTTACTCATTAGACTAAATTGTTTGCTATTCCCTTTTCCTTCTAGATTTAAAGAAGAATTTACGTTTACTTTTAATACTTTAATTGGTTAAAATACAGGCAATACAGAGGATGAAATAAAGAAGACATATTTACTTCACTCTTTTGCAGGGAGGGTTCTGGGGATGGAACCCACATTAGGCAAGTGTTTTACCACTGAGCTACACCTCGAAGCCCTTTCTTTCCTTTTAAGGTAAAATTATATGGAAACCTTGATTGGTTACCTTCAGTCCATTTCCTGCATACAGTGAACTGATCCTTCTATAACCACCCCCACAGCCCAGTGGTTCTTTATTCTCTTAGTACAAAGGCAAACTCCTAACCATAGCAGACAGACTTCCCAATCTGAGCAAAGATAGGCCAGGTAACCATTTCCAAAAATGCCCTCCTCAAAAAGATCATGGCATTTAGGATGCTGCCACATCTCAGCAAATCTTACAATCTAGAACTGGTGATATAAATCAAGTTTTGTGATAATACAGCAACTAACAATTCAAGATCTACAAGCTTGCCAAAAATAGGCAAGCCTTATATGTAAACACAAACATCAAGTGAAAAATACAGTCTTGCTATGTAATTCAGGCTGGCCTCAAACTTGCAGTGATCTTCCTGCCTCAGCCTCCCAGGTGCTGGGATTATAAGCACATACCACCATGAAAGGCTGTATTCATTTTTCTACAAATGTCTCAAACTTATTCTTCTTTATGATTGAGCAGATATCCACTCTGTATAAATACCACATTTTCTTTATCCATTCAACAGCTGATGGGCATATAGGTCACGTTCAAGATTATATACAGATTTTTCCAACATCATTTATTAAACAGACAGTCTTCTAGTTAACATGTTTGGCCCCTTTGTCAAAGATAAGGTGGCTGAGTGTGTTTGTAGTTGTGTCTATATCTTGTTTTGGTCTAACGATCTTCAGGTCTGTTTGTTTGTTTGGTTTTTGCCAGTATTATGCTGATTTTATTATAGCAGCTTTGTAGTATAATTTCAAGTTTGGAATTATGGTGCCTCCTGCCTTGCCTTTGCTGCCCAAGATTGTTTTTGCTATTCTAAGTTTCTTATGGCTCCATATGAATTTTAGGAATGTTTTCTCTAGATCTGTGTGCTATGCTAATGGTATTTTAATCAGGATTGCATTGAATATGTATAATAGTTTTGGGAATATAGCCATTTTCATGATGTTGGTTCTTCCTATCCATGAGTAAGAGATATCTTTCCATTTTTTCAATTTCTCTTCAATTTCTCTTTTCATAGTACTATAATTTTCAATGTGTAAATATTTTAACTCCTTTGCTAGATTGATTCTTAAGTGTTTCATTTTTTTTATGTTATTGTGAAGGATGTGGTATCCCTAATTTTTCTCTCAGTGAGTTTGTGTACAGGAATGCTATTGACTTTTGAGTATTGACTTTCTATCCAGCTATGCTGCTTAATTTGCATATTAAGTTTAGAAGTCTATTGGTGGAGTTTTTGGATCTTCTAAGTAGAGTATTACGTATTTTGTGAATTTCACTTCTTTTCCTATCTTTATTCCTTTTATTTTTCTCTCTTGTCTAATTGCTTGGACTAACATTTCCAGAACTATATTGAATAGGAGTGATGATAGTGGACAACCTTTTCTTGTTCCTGATTTTAGAGTAAAAACTTTCTGTTTTTGTCCATTTAGTTATGTGCTGGTTCTTCTTTTGTCATAGATGGCTTTTATCAGATTGAGGTAAAGACCATCTATTTCATTTTTCTCTAGGGATTTTACCATGAAAGAGTGCTGGATTTTATCATAAGCTTTTTGTGAGAGAACAAGCAGTCACCAAGAAGCAAGTCCTCCCTCTGAATTGGTGCCATGTGTGGGCCACTGTGAGAAGAGCCAGATACCAGCCTTTTCCTGTGAGTCAGCACCATTTGTGAACTGCAGGAGAAGAGAACAAGAAGTCACCAAGAAGCAAGACCTCCCTGCAAATCAGTCCCATGCACAGGCCACTGGGCAGAGAACCAGATGCCAGCCCCCTCCAGCAGTGGGCTGGGAAGCAAGAATAGCCACCCCCCCCCCAACACACACCATAAGCGACTGGCTGATAGGGAGAAACAGGCTGTGATGATAGCTATTGAGTTAAAATATAATTTAATGCTTATAGTGTTTAGTGTTTCACTGACTTTGCAGGTCTAAAGCTGATAGTCTGATCATCTATTTAGAGCATAAAAATATGCAATGTAGGATCTCCTTCTAAAGGTTGTAGCCACTGTTATTTTCCTATCATCTTGTTTTGAAGGCTTGTATCATTTTCATTATTTTGTTGGATTGGATTTTATTCTGTTTTATTTGACTTCATGATATCCAAAGAAATGGGCAGCTATTTTAAAGATAACAAGATGTATTATGGTAGTCATTTTGGCTTTAATATTATCTTGTTTTGAAGTCCTTTGCTGCATCCATTGTTGTTTTAATTGGTTCTATTCTGTTCTGTTTTCTTTGATTTTTACTATGTCTGAAGGTATATGCAACTATTTTGAAAACAACAAGAGACATTATGGTAACCATTGTTGATTTTGTATTGTTTTGAAGTCCTATATCACTTACATTGGTTTGTTTTGATTGGTTTTATTCTATTTTATTTTGCATGATTTTATTCTCTTTAAAATAAATTTTCAAAAGCTTTTTTTTTATTTAAGGAGAAAAAGAAAAAATAGAAAAAGGGTACAAGTTATACAGAATTTCAGAAAACATAAACAGTAGGAAATCACTAGTTAATAGATTACATATTGTTATCTTAGAAATAGTTGTTCAAATTACAAAACTAAAGCATATAAAGTGGACTTTCAAACAGTGAGACTGGAAACAGTTTTGTTCAATGATCCAACAAAACTCAGTAATATGATTATCTATCTTATACACTTAAATATATATGCAGTTATAACCTTTAGAGCACTTTCTTTTCCTTTCTTTTGTACAATGACAATTACACATTTTGGGTTTTATTACTCCCACAGTTCTTATTAATTTTTTTGAAGACAGTAAAACCAAATGTGCCATAACAGAACAGAGTCAGTCAAATCAAAAGGATGGGCATAATAGATAATGTAAAAACAAAATACAAGGTGATCAGCAATGGTTACCATACTGCCTCTTGCTATCTTAAAAAGAATTGCCTATATCATCAGTTATAATAAAATTGAACAAAACAGTAAAGAATAAAACCAAAACATTGGAGACATTACAGGACTTTAAAAGAAAATAATAGTCAACCGGGGTGGGCGTCATAATGAATCTTATTGTCTTCACAGTTTTGCCTATACTTTTGAACTTGGTACTATCAAGCACAGCAGAATAGGGGAAAATCAGTCAAAGCAAGATGGTGAGGGCCATAAAAAATCAAGTTAATAGGAAATCAAAGTGGGTTATTGTAATGTATCTTGCTTTTTTATTTTTCTCTTAATTAAAAAGATAAAAATAAAAAGTAAATAATTTTTAAAAAGGAGATTGAGATAAAAGAGGGCATAATAACAAACCAGCGGAGGTCAAAGCATAACCATTTAAGCAAAATAGTGTTTCATCCAAGATATCCTGACATAATCTATTGAGTTGATCATGTGATTTTTGTATTTCACTCAGTTAATATGGTATGTTACATTTATTGATTCATGTGTGTTGAGCCATCCCTGCATTCCTGGGATGAATCCCACTTGATAGTGTGTGTAATCTTCTTGATGATTATTTGCTGCATTCTGTTTGCTAGTATTTTATTGAGGAATTCTGCATCTATGTTTATTAGAGAGATTGGCTTGTAATTTTCTTTTTTGATTCTTTCTCTGGTTTTGGTATCAGAGTAGTATTTGCCTCCCAGAATGAGTTACAGAGAATTGTTTCCCTTTCAATTTTCATTAAAATTTTTGAGGAGTATCAGTATTAAATCATTTCTAAATTTCTTGTATTATTCATCTGTGAATCCATCAGGACCTGGGCTTTTTTGTTGTTGGTAACTTTTTAATTACATTTTCAGTTTCATAACTGATATTGGGTTGTTTAGAAGTTTTGATCCAGCTTTAGTAATTCACATATTTCTAGGAATCTGTCCGTTTCTTCCGTGTTCTTGATCCTATGAGAGCAAAGGTTTTCAAACTAAGTATTGATGATCTTCTGTATATATACCAGTTTTGTAGTAATTCCACTCTTTTCATTCTTTATTTCATGAATTTGGGTTTTTCTTTCCTTTTCTGGTAAGATTGGCTAGGGGTTTATCAATTTTATTTATTCTTTCAAAGAGCCAACTCAATTCATTAATTCTTTGTATTCTTAGTCTCAATTGCGTTAATTTCTGCTCTGATTTTTATGATTTCCTCCTTTCTTTTGGTTTTGGGCTTGACTTGCTCTTCTTTTTCTAGATGTTTAAAGTGTAGCATAAGGTTATTTATTTGTGTTCATTCTGTTTTCCTGATGGGGGAATTCACAGCAATAAATTTCCTTCTGAGGACTGCTTTCGCTGCATCCCACAGGTTCCAGTAAGTTGTGTGCACTTTCGTTTCTTTGTAGATATTGTTTAATTTCTTTAATTTTGTCTGTGACCTTATGATTGTTGAGTAGTGTATCATTTAATTTCCATGTTTATGGAATTTTTGAAGTTTCTTTTGTCATTTATTTTCAATTTCACTATGGTCAGATGCCAAAGACTTAAACTAGACTCATGCCTAAAGTCAAAATGAATCAAAGATCTAAATATTAAAACAGAAACACTAAATCTACTCGAAGACAAGAAATGTTGAGGACATAGAGTTGATGAACAAAAACCAAACTGCATGAAAAGTACTTCAGAGAATCAACAACTGGGATCTCATCTTATCAAAAAGTCTTTGCACAATGAAAGAAATCACCAATACAGTGAAAAGAAAACCCACAGCTTGAGAAAAGATTTTTGCCAACTGTTCCTCAGACAAACGACTTTTATCCAAAACATATAAAGAATTTTAAAAAATCAGGCCCCCCAATTTAAAGTCCCAATCCGACGATGGACATCTGAGATGAACACACAATTCTCAGATAAAGAAACACAAATAGCAAATAAATGTACCAAAAAGTTCAACATCATTGATTATAAATGCAAATTAAAACAACACTGAGATGTTATCTCACCCCACAAAGAATGGCTAACATCAAGAAATTAACCAGAAACAAATGCTAGTGGGGTTGTAGGAAAAAAGGAACCCTTCTCTATTGTTGGGGGGAGTGTAGACTGGTGCAACCACTGTGGAAATCAGTGTGGACATTCCTCAAAAAACTAGGTTTAGAGGTCTATTCAACCCAGTTATTTAAAGTCTGGCTATTTTCCTAAAAGAATTGAAAACAGCATTACCACAGCGATATATGTGCACCCAAGTTTATAGCTGCACAATTTGTAATAGCCACATCTTGGAAACAACCCAAATGTCCATCAACTGAGGAATTAATAAAAAACATGTGGTATTTTTACACAATGGAATACTAGTCACTCATAAGGAAAGATAAACTCAAGGCTTTGTAATAAATGGATGCAACTAGGAACCATACTCATAAGTGAAATAAATCACACTTGCATATGTAAACACTGTATTGTCTCACTAGTGTAAGAAACTGAAAGAGTAAATATGATCCCAAAGTTACAATAGATGTAGTAAAAAGGGAAAAAACTGCACAAAGGGAAATTATACTGTTTGATCAATCCTGCATGCCTGTATCTGTTAGCCTGAGCAATAGCTTTGAAGATAACAATATGCAATATAACAACCATTGTTAAACTCTTATCATGTTTTTGAAATCCTGTATTGTCATTATTTAGTTGTAATTGTTGTTGTCATTTTGCTTATTTTTTTTAATCATTTGTTTGCCATTTGATTTTTCTGTATTTTTTCTCTTTAAGATAAAAAATCTCAAAAAAGAGAGTGTGTGGTTTTTTGCCATTTTCCCTTCTTTTTCAAAATTAAATTTTAATGGCTTCTCGGCCTTTTGGCTAAGACCAAGTGTACTGTCTGTTATTATCAGTTTAATACCTGATATGTTCTCTATCTGAGGACAACATAATAAATGGATTTTTGGAGCTGGGAGATGAAATATGACCTTACTGCATTCATTCCACACATTGACCTGGTATTGCAGTACCTTCAGGAATGGTGCACCAAACTCCTCCAAAAACCTGAATTTTAATGCAATTGTACTTCACTATCTATAAAAACCAATTGCATCAAGATATACAAAATTTCAGTGAACAGGAATAATTCCAAAAGAACTATTTTTACAATATTGTGACTATAGTTAATAATAATGTATTGTACTCTTGACAAATGCCAGTGGTTTTCACCATGAAAAACTATGTGAGGTAATGCGTGTTTTATTAGCTAGATTTAGGCATCTTAAAAAAATATATATATATATGTCTTATACACAATAAGTACAACTTTTATCTGTTAATTAAAATTATTTTAAATAGAAAACTAACTCCAGAAGGAATACATACATCAATTTGAAAGGCCAAACAACAAGGCACCTACTAATATAGAAAATACTTTCATGATTTTGGGTTATGAAAGGATTACTAAAGAAGTGACAGGAATAGCTTAATACAGTGAAGAAATTTTATTTACATATTAAAATACAATATTCAGATGAGTGAAGGGAGAGGCTATTTGCAATACAAATAACTTACAACTCATTCAGAATACGCAAAGAGCTCATACAAATCAATATGAAAAAGACAACCCATACAAAGGGAAATTATATGAAACTTCTTACTGGAAAACTACATTTCACCTTCTGGGTCATGTTTATCACTGTTCTGGAAACTTATTGATTTATATCCATAACTGTCATATGTATATTGTAAGAACAAGGGGGACTGTGATAGAACTTTCTGATGCACTACTGTTAAATAAAGAGCTCCTGAAGAAAAAAATTACCCATAATTTGGTGTGAACAAAACTCAAACTTTTCTCTCTATATAAAAACACCACAAAAATTCTGTGTGGATCATTCATGTTGGGGGCATTATCCTTAACAGGAGAGAGTAACTGTGTAAGGCTATTTAGGCAGAAATAACAAGGAAAATTCACCATGTATTCCTCAAAGCTTACTCAAATCAATAAAAAAAATCACAAGGGGATTAGGGATGTGGATCACTATAGAGTATTTGCTTAGCACGCATAAGGCCTTGAGTTCCATCCCCAACCCAGAAATGAGAGAGAAAACAATCATTATTCATTTTTGAATCACTGATCATACAGAAATATGTTAAACTATAAACCAAGATTCTAAATATTGAAGTTAATTCTAAAATGTCCTATAAAATCACTCCATGCCTCCTGCCTCCTGATTGAGCCCCGTGTAACACTATCTCTGTGAGTGTGACCTGCACCTAGTAGTTCGCTCCTAATCAGCAAAATACACCAATGTTGATAAGTGTGATTTCTGAGATTAGTTACATAAAGATCCTGGCTTCTGTCTTGCTCATCCTCTGGTTTTCTCACACATGTGCTCTGATGATTAAGCCGTATGCCCGGAGCTGTCCTATGGAGAGACCCATGTGGAAAGCAACAAGAGCAGACTCTATTTAACAATCTTCTGGGGACTCTTTGCTGCCAACAGCCACATGAGCATGAGCTTGGAAGACCATCCTTCCTAGCTGAGGTTTGGGATGACTGCAGCCTTGGCTGACACTTCGATCACCACTCTGTGTCGATGTCCGCTCCCGGCCGGCAGGAAGGACACACGACAAAGTCTGGTAGTGGACAACCTTTTCTTTTTATTTTCCTTCTCCGTACAGCCTGCCCTGGGTTCTCCCAGCTGAAGCCTCCTCTGGTCCGCTCCCCGCGGCTCCTTTTGTGCTTCAGTCTGCCCCAAAGCCTCTACCGGTCCGCTCTCCGCGGCTCCTTTTTGGGCTTTTACTTCTGGGCTTCTACCTGGCTTCTTCTTCCGCCCAGGGGTGGCACCGGTATATATACGGGTACAGTGTCCAATCATGTTAAAGTAAGCAAGGCAAGCTGATTGGCTAACATCATCAGTTGCCAGGCAGACTATATTGTTGAGCGGGTTGTTTACGCGGTAAGCAGGAAACTAACATATTCGATGGGAGGGGTAATCTACCTCAGGCTTCGCTCTTTACTACAGGCCTCACGTCCGCCAAGTGAGGCGACCGGGCTCGGGGCTGCGGCTCCCAACATCTCCCCCTTTTTTATTTTTTATGAATGTGCGCATCGTAGCCCTTCCTGGACTGGGTGCAGAGGCTTATGCCCTATGCGTAGGTCCACCGTAGGTCCTTGGCTTAGACCCTGGTTGGCCATGCCATGGTCTGCCAAGGCCCTGAGGCCCTCGTCCTTTTTCTAGGGCCAGGCACAAACTGGACGGAACCTGGATGCACACAAGCTTGCACTCATTTCCTCTCCGTAAAGAAATCCCCTCGGAGAGAAATTTAGACCTGGGCAGCATCTAACAGTCCAGCGGCTTACGTGCAGGATGGGGTAGGGCCTGGCTTAGGTCGAGTCGTGCTGGGGAGGCACGCTCTTACCCGTCATTGACTCACCTACCCTGCTGTGTATTGTCACCTTATGGAGGAGAATGAGGGATGCCCGCCATATCTAGACTCGGTCGTGGGCCAATTGAGCAAGCCATGCATATGCCTGAGGATCTTCTTGTCCATTTCGGGCTACCGCTATTTCTATTCATCTTATTGGTTGGTCTGTGATGGATCTCCAGTAGGGCAGGTCTGATCTTTAGTCGAGGGCTTTGTTGCCCGTGTCAGTCTCTCCGGTATCCACAGTGGTTCTCGTCCCGATTCCTGTGGGAAAACACAAACCGCGCCTCGGTTCCAGCTGACCACTGGATCCGGGCCCATCCATTGTCCTGCCATAGATAACCGCGCCTTTGGAGGCAGGCCTTGGCTTACTCCCCCTTTTTGTTTTTTATTTTTTATTTTTTATTTTTATCTTTTTCGTTTTTTTTTTTTTTTTTTTTTTATTGGTACCAGGGATCGAACTGGCGATTGCCTGCTTACAAGGCAGGCGCTTATGCCGCTAAGCTAAATCCCCAGCCCCCATTTCCTCGACCGGCGTTTTTCTCAGCCTGCTCGGCAGAGAACTCTGTGTACCAGGCTCGCCAATCCAGGTAACTACCCGAGGGCAGACACGCCTTTGCCAGCTGAATCCAGTCCGCGGGGGTGAGGGGCCCAGAAGACAGATTCTCCAGCATGGCAATGGTGTAAGGCGCAGTCGGCCCAAAAGTTGTAACTGCATTTTTAAGTTCTCTAATCTGCTTTATCTCAAAAGGCTCCCATACATTGCGTCCCTGGCCCATAGCTACTTGTACAGGAAATATCCCGTAGGGGCCACTATCTATCCCAGGTGGATGTACCTCATGAGACAAGCGTCCCCCCTGCCAAAGCCGCCTGTAAAAATACCGACCCGCCGGCGGCGGAGCATAAGACAGCGGCCGTGATTGGGCGGAAAATGGGGGCCCGTGCATCACTTCCTGTTCTTGTGAAAGGGGAGAGAGCTCCCAGGCGGCCGCCTCGTGGCGAGGAATCGCCTCCGGAAACGGCCCCCAAGGTGGGGCGGAAGGCTTCGCCTCCCTCTCGCGCCGGGGAGCGCTCAGGAGCTCTCTACTCCTCCGCAGACCAGGTTGAGCAGAGCGCAATTCGCGGGGCAACGCTGGAAAAGAACCCTGCGACTCCTTATTGAGCGATTTAGGCTCCTGACAGCTGGTCTCTTTGGCCTCCTTGCCATTCAACTTTCCCTCGTCCTCGGAGTCAGACGACTCCGAGGCTAGAGCCCCGTCCTCCTCCTTAGCATCCTTGTTCCCCTTGACGGACCCCTCTCGGGAGCTCCCTGACTGGGCCTGCTCAGATACCCTGCGTACTTTTGTAAGCTCTTGAGAGCTTTCTCCACAACCACCCTCGCTCTTAGTGTTGCTACCTAACATGTTTCCCATCTTTTAATATGTTACTCACCGCGTGAGGCCCAAGGAATCCGCCACTTACGCGTGAGCCTGAGGGGAGTCTAAAAGCCCTGTAGGTGCGCGCCACCCAGAGCCCAGGCTTATCCCCAACTCACCTGTCTCGCAGCTCTGTACTGGAGCGTTGTCCACTTCCACGTCTCGGGGGTGATCAGTCCCCGGGCGGGCCTCCAAATGTCGATGTCCGCTCCCGGCCGGCAGGAAGGACACACGACAAAGTCTGGTAGTGGACAACCTTTTCTTTTTATTTTCCTTCTCCGTACAGCCTGCCCTGGGTTCTCCCAGCTGAAGCCTCCTCTGGTCCGCTCCCCGCGGCTCCTTTTGTGCTTCAGTCTGCCCCAAAGCCTCTACCGGTCCGCTCTCCGCGGCTCCTTTTTGGGCTTTTACTTCTGGGCTTCTACCTGGCTTCTTCTTCCGCCCAGGGGTGGCACCGGTATATATACGGGTACAGTGTCCAATCATGTTAAAGTAAGCAAGGCAAGCTGATTGGCTAACATCATCAGTTGCCAGGCAGACTATATTGTTGAGCGGGTTGTTTACGCGGTAAGCAGGAAACTAACATATTCGATGGGAGGGGTAATCTACCTCAGGCTTCGCTCTTTACTACAGGCCTCACGTCCGCCAAGTGAGGCGACCGGGCTCGGGGCTGCGGCTCCCAACAACTCTGAGCCAGAGGACACAGGTATCTTGAAAGACACTGTGAGCAAATTTATGCTGTCTTAAGGCATTAAGTTTGGGTAATTTGTTGTAAGGTATATAGGTAACTAATATAGTACAATTTATTTAAGTGTATCTTAATGTAAGTTATCAAGTAGCACAATATTAAATCTACTTGTAAAAACTGAACGAGGAAAAGATGTTCCCTTCCTTTTCTGCCCTGGAAGATAAACCCAGAAGAAAACATGTATCAACAATATTTGCTTCTTATTGCTGTTGCAACAAATCACGATCACAACACTTTGATTCTATTGTCACACATCCTTCCCTTACTCTGATTCCCCTGTCTCCCTTTTACACATATACACTCTGGAATGATGACATTGTGCCCATCTACGATTATATAAGCTAATCTCCCTGTTGAGTTTTCTGTTGCTATAAAACAGGCAAGTTTATTTTGGCTTGTGATTTCAGAGGTTTCGGGCCATGATCCTCTGACTCGATTGCTTTGAGGAGAGTGGTAAATCATGGCAAGAGTGTGTCACAGAGAAGGCTGCTTCTCTCATAGTAACCAGAATCCAAAAAAGACAACATCCCTTGTAAGGACAACCACAACAATTTACCTTCTATGTTCAACTCCTTAAAGTTTCCATCAACTCTCAATGGTCATAGGCTGAGGAGTAAGGCTTCAACATATGGGCCTTTGTGGACACTTATTCAAACCCTAGCACTTTCTATCTGCATAGCTTTAATTCAGTCATACCTGCAAAGTCCCCTTTGCCATATAATATTCACAGGTTCTGGGGCTTGGGATATGAACATCTTGGAGGTGGGGCATTATCGGTCTACCACAGAGGGATAGACTATATGTTTTCTAAAGAGATTTGGTCTATTGATCTATATATCCTGTTTTTTAAAATGTATAGGCAAGGAAATAAAAAGACTCATGAAACAAAATTTTCCAAGTTTTAACCATCTCCATTTCTAACGTTCTATCTTTTAAGTACCCAGAAGCAAATGTATTGTGAAAGAAAATGGAAAACTCAACAGAGTAGTTGTCACAGGTCAAACTTTGATGCAATCAGTCAGAAGACAAAGGGGACATGAGGAGTAGAACACATAAGTTTCTTGGAAAATAGTGACATTTTCCTAGAAATATAGATTTATGTCCCTCACAATGAATGATAACAGTGTTATCTGTACATCAGTTAACAGCAAGAAAAATCAGGTTGCCTTGCAAGAGATGGTAGAAACCACTGAATAAAAAAAAATCGCTATTTGTTCTTATTTTAGCCAAGAGTTAATATGAAAAATGTGTAGCCATTGTGAAAGGAATCTGGTACTGTCAGAGACTGGACAAATTGGATTCTTTGTAAGTGATGCACCATTCAGCTCAATCCCTGATATCAACTGTCTTCCAAATCATCACTGCATGAAACATCTGTTTTCTGCAAGATTAGCACAACTCAACGGAAACGTGCCTAGCCTGAAGGAAATAAAGAGATGGTAAAAATCGATTCTAATACTATTTATGGGAAGGAATTCAGATAAAACCTAGGCTGATCCATGAAAAATGTTTCCAAGCTCCCTTAACTGGATTTCTTTTGAGATAAGCACTTTCTTAGTATCAGGAATGAGAAGGTAGCAATATATGCTTCTATTTGTATCCAGTTAGTCTGGTAATGATACAACCAAGTCTACATTAAATCAGACAGCAAAGCTTATGCCAAAAGCCAAACATAAACCAGACATCCATGTCAAATCTTTTTACCATGAGTAACAAAATCAGCAAAATATTGTGAACAAAATATGTTCAGGATCCAGCCAATGGTTCACACATTTCAAGGAATATTTGATGCAATAAGGCATCCAAATAAAGTTAATTTAGACAGTCCTTGGAGTCTGTGGTAGAATTTGATTTGGCAATGTGATTTAAAAAAAAAGACAAAGGGTGACCTCGATTTAATGACTTCAAAATAAAATTTAGACAACATAAGTTTACATTCAATATGTTTGATTACAGGCAGTCAGGACTATTAAATCTGTAAATAAAAAGTATTTTATAATACTTAATACTTAAGTTAATTGTCTGGCAATTGACAGGAAGCCCCAAACTTTGAATTTGTTGCCTAATTCAATAGAAACGTGTGTGTGTGTGTGTGTGTGTGAGTGTGTACAGGCGTGAAAGTGCATGTGTGTATAAAAGGCAGAGGAGAAAAATACAGAAAGATAAAGATCAACATAACTCTGGAGATGATCTCTTATAAAAGACAGGCTTTGTGTTCATAGCTGGGTTTGTAACACACTTGGTTAAAGTCAGTTTACAGGTACTCAGTACTAACATGCATTTCTAAGGTACTTGCTTTTGTATCCCTCTAAAAATGTTTTTGAAAATAAATGTCAGGTTTAAAATTCATTATGACCAAATAAAACAACAAGAAAGACTTGTAGATGAACATCTACCCATTCTCTCATGATGCAACATAGAGTGATGGCTAAAAGGAAACCGCAAATAAGATGAACCACATTCTTCCTGCTGGTAGTGTTACAAGGAATCTACTTTAATATGCTGACCTTAGAAATGGCATTTCCACTTGGCAATGTCTTTTAAAATTAAACATGCATATATCTGGTGACCATCCTTGAAAATTTGTCCTGCCATAGTAAATCTCCACGCAGGAAGACAGATGTACAAAAGTGTTCACTGCTAGTTTGCAATAGCTGAGCACTAGGAAAAATGTGAGTGATTATTGTTAGGAAATTGTTGCAGAGAATCCAGAATGTAGACTATCACTGGTAAAAGGAGCACATAAATAGATCGCAAAAGATTTCCATGAGGTTTCGTTCAGTCAAAAAATTAAGGTGCAATGAAGTGTTTAATAGTATTCCATCTTAGTAAAACAACGAAAAAATAATCCTATATGTTTGTATCTCCATGCACATATGCTAAGTGTAGAAAGAAGGGTGGAAAAAGTACAGTAGGATTTAATTCAAGGATGGAGCTGGACTGCATACTAGATCGAGGATATATAGAGGGATCCTGCGGGAGGATAAGGGAAAACTAGGGATTGGAGGGAAGCAAACATCCAAAGTACAAGACATCTCCCAACAAAGAAAAGCCCAGCGCTACATGGATTCACTGTTGAATTTTACCAAAACCCTTAAAGAAGAACTAGCATGAATGCTTCTTGACATGTTCCACAAAATAAAAAGGGAGGAATGCTTCCAAATTCATTCTATGAATCTAGTGTCACTGCAAAACCAGATAAGGTCACAACAGGAAAACTATAGATCAATACCCTTGGTGAGCACAAATGAAAAAGTACTCAGCAAAACACCCTGAAATTGAATTCAACAGCACACTAAAAATATAGTACATGGCCAAGAATTTAGCTCAGCAGCATAAGCACCTGCCTTGCAAGCAAGCAGTCGTGAGTTTGATTCCCGGTACAAAAAAGCAAAAAGCAAAAAAAAAAAAAAAAAAAAAAAAAAAAAAAAATATATATATATATATATATATATATATATATATGTGTGTGTGTGTGTGTGTGTGTGTGTGTGTGTGTGTGTGTGTGTGTGTGTGATAATCATGTTGGTTACATCTTGGAGATTCAAGGACGGTTCCACATACACATGTCAATGAGCAGAATGCTCCATGTAAATAAAATCAAGGACAAAACTCACACAATTATCTCAACAGATACATAAAGAGCCTTTGACAAAATTCATCATAAAAACCCTGAAGAAACTAAGTATAGAAGGATCTTACCTCAACATAATAAAGGTTATACACAAAAAACCAGTATCAATATCATACTGAATGAGAGAAAACTGAAAGTATTTCCTCTAAAGTCAGGATTCTGGCAAAGCCATCCACTCTCAACTCTCCTGTTTAATACAGCACTTGAAAGTATAGCTAGGTTAATCAGAAAAAAGGGTTACAAATACAAAAGGAGGAAATGAATTTATCCTTGTTGGCAGATGACATCGTTCTATACTTGCAAGATACTAAAGACCCCATCAAAACATTCTGATTATACTGAGATTTCATCTTACTGCATTCCGAGTGACTATCATCATTAATACAAAAAACAATAAATTTTGGCAAGAACACAGGGTATTGAAGGAACTCAAACAGTGGGTAGAATGCAAATTAGTGCAGCCTCTGTATGGAGGTTCTTCAAAAATCTAAAAGTATAATTACCATATGACTTAACTATACTACTCAGCATGATTCACAAAGGAATGAAAGTTGGCACACTACACAGATACCTGCATCTCTATGTTTAATTCATCCCAAATCACAATAGCCAAGTCACTGTATAAGCCTGGGTTCTCAATGAATGAATGGATAGTGAAAATGTGATACATATACATAATAGTGTATTCTTCAGCCATGAAGAAAACTGAAATTGTCCTCTACAGGGAAATGGACAGAACTGGAGATCATCATGTCAAGTGAAGTAAGGCACACTTAGAAAGACAAATGTCTCATGTTTTCCCTACTATGTGAAATTTAGAAAAGAAAAAGATGACATGAAAGTAGAAAGGGTATTATTAACCAGAATACAAGAAGCAGAAGGGGAGAAGAGGCCAAGTGACATCAATGGAGGGATGTATATGACCAAAGTATGTTATACGCATATATGAAAATTCCACAGTGGAGCCCAATATTCTGTACAATTAATTTGCACTAATAAAACATGCATGTGAAAAAATACAAGCAAAAAGTACTTCATGAAACAGATATGGCACACTCATTGTCATGCAAATCACACACAAAAACTAAGAATAAATTATTGGATCGACCTTTTTTTTTTTGAAGTGCTAGGGATGGAACCCAGGGCTCTGCACATACTAAACAAGTGCTTGACCACTGAGCATCAAGCTCAGCCTTAATAATTTTTTAAAAATAACACTGATTGTAAGTATTTGGGGATTTTGTAATCAGTCCTTGGATTCAAATGCCACCCTAAAGGTTAGCCTTCCATAATCAGACCCATATCAAGCAAAACTTGCATCTCAATCAAGCATGAATTTGTTCTTAAGTAACACAGGTCTCATTTTCAGAAACACTGTGATCTAATAATAGCAAGAATTTCAGAAGATGAGGTGTTTTACTTGCCTTCATTTATACATTAAGTCTCAATGTGGCCTTGAGCAAGTGATTAATCTGTTTCCCTTGGTTTCCACATCTGTAAACTGAGGGTGTGGGCCAAAAAGTCAGGCTCTAATATTCTGTGAATTTGTCTTGATTGTTTTTATCTGAAAAGACCCAGAATACTTGCTAATTTAAACATAATTCAAAGTAAATAAAGTTCACAGAACTTTGTGCTGAGCTTTGGAAACAAGCACATTCCTGAGAAAGGATTCATTTTTTGTTTTTTGGGATTTTTTGCTTTTTATTTCCCTGGTATAATGACTGAACCCCAGAACCCATCATACCTTTAGGAATAGGCTGGGAATGTTTTGCTCCTTGGTCCAATTTGAAGTCCAAATATAAGGTTGGTGTGCGAGTATAAACCTTAGACTGAAAAGAAAAAGGAAAAACATCAGCATTTTTCTAAGAATAAGGTTCTTCAGCTGGGCGCCACAGTTTAAAAAAAAAATTAGATCCATTATACTTATGGTTCCTCTTATGGAAGCGCTGCTAAAGCCATGTGGGCTGCTAAATCAGCTCCTTTTAAGGGCCTTAGTCTAGAAATTAGTCCTCTTAGTTTTCCAATATGATTGACAGCTATTTTCAAGAAAACAGCTGGGTTTGTTTGTTTGTTTGTTCATTTTGCAAGACTCAGTAAAACCATTTCTATTTTGAAACATTAAAAAGTGGCCTGTATGTATTTTCTTCTCACTTGGCCTTCTTGCAAAACAAAACAAAACAAAAAAAAAAGTGTTCTGCCACTGGGGGCTTGAAAAATCCCTACATCTAAATGTAAGAAAGGCAAACTTTTGTAGGATTTTCCACTGTAAACAGTAGCTTCAATTTCATCAACAGTTAGACAGTATGTAATTCAATACAATGCCATCATGAATCACTGGTATAAACCAAATCCAAGAGATTGGCACTGTTGCTATGAACTTTACAATGTCTCATTGTTAATTACACAGCCCCAGTGACTCTATCCTAATTTTTCAAATTTAGAAGTACCTGCCAAAAAGCATGTAACACCAAGCTTGAGAAGGATATGAAAGAACTGGAAGTTCCAAACTGCTGGTGGGAATGTAATTTGGGACAAACATGAGGCAATGGTTAGTACAGCTCAATCTACACGTAACTTCTGACCCAACAATCTAGCTCATACATATATACTCAATAGAAATGTCACAGACATTTAAATAAATCTTAAAAGTGGACTATTGATAATGGCTCCAAACTGGAAACATCCCTGTAACAATAGAATGGATAAATGAATTATGGTAATACATTTACATAGTTGAATACTATCCCATAAGGAGAATGAATAAGCCCAATGACCTGTAACAAATTAGAGGAATCTTGCAAGCATAATATTGAGCAAGTGAAGACAGATGTCTGATTTCATTTCTACAAAGTTCAGAACAAAGTTATGATGGTTAACCTTGATTGTCAACCTGGCTGGATTAAGAGATGCCTAGATTAGTAAAGTACACTTCTAGGTGTGTCTGTGGGGTATTTCCAGAGATGATTGGTACATAGGACAGAAACTTGAGGGGTGAAGACCTCTCTGGGTGACATCATCCGTCCAGGGTTACAGCCTGGACAGAATGAAAAAAGGAAGAAGGAGGAAGTCAGATCCACTTGAAAGCTCAATTCTGCTCAAGCAGATGCATCTTTTGCTGCTGTAACTACCTGTGGACATCAGACGTTGGCTTCTTCAGCCTTTCAACATGGACTCATACTAGTGACTCTCCAGGGAGCTTGCCATGTGTTGGGCCTCAGAATGGCAATGTATTCTTGGTCCTCCTGTTATAGGGCTTTCATCTTCTTGGACTGAGCAGCTGCGGGATCCTCTGGCTCTCCAGCATGCAAAGCACTTTGGGCCATTTAGCTTCTGGTTCTATAACCATATTTATAAATCCTGTTTTGAAAATATATATTCTATTGTTTCTGTTTCTTTACAGAGCCCTAACCAATTCAAAGGTAATATTAACCTTTAGTGTCAGAAGTCAGAAAAGCAGTTATTTGGGGAAAGTTAATAATTGCAAGGAAGTTTTTTAAAAGAGCAGAGGAGATGACTTCAAAGGGACTAGTCTGTTTCTTGATTTGGCTGTTGGTGTCACATGGCTGTTCACTTGGTGAAAATTCTCTGAAATGTACCCTTGATTCATGTACTCTTCTCTATTTGTACTAGATTCTAATAAAATCCTACATTAAAATATGCAATTGTAAACAGACAAAAAGAGAATCCAGTGCCCAGAATTATCCTCTATAAGGACAACATTTTGCAGAGAATAATTATGTAAGTTCTATAAGAGCATTAACATTTCTACTTTTTTCATCACTGAATCTCTAGGGCAAATCCATAGTGTCTCTCACATAACAGGTGTCCAATAAATATTTACAGAATGATGTTTAATAGTGGGAATATCTCACATATAATGATACATGTATTGATGGTACGTAAAGGGTGTTCATCAATAGCTATATGTAGCAAAATGCCTCTCTTCAGAACAGGTGAATCTGGTATGGCCAAAGTATATATCTGTACAGTAAATCAGAATTATAAATAGTGTTGACTCTCAAAGAATTTGTTCCTACCCTATGACTATCTCCTATCGAAGCTTTGGACTTTAAAATAGTCTGGCACATGGTTTTACAAGGCTTGGAAGGTCAAACAGAATTAAAAACAGCTTCAAAGACTAGAGAAGCAAATCCTTCTCCACATACATAAAAGAAACCAGAAAGACTGTGCCATAAAATGCAACCTGAGACCAAAGATTCACAATCGATCTGAAGAACCTGAAGTGCAGCACACCAGAGGCACTGCATTCTCTAGGGTCGGTAAGTGTGTAAGGCACCATCTGGAAAGAGACCGTTTTGTCTGATGAAGGCATCTAAAGTTTCCTCTTAAAAGGTCAAGGAGAACATAAGATCAAATGACTCCTCTGTTTGGCTAATATTTAGTTTCCTTTTAGATAAAAGATCCCTGGTTGGTTCAAGCATCTTTTCCAGTCTTTGCCTCAGTGGCAGAGGCCAGTATACCTGCCTTCATCCTAAAGTGGCTCTTGACTAACATTTTACAGGCATTCCTCCAGAATGTGGACACAAAAATCACCATGAATTGGAAATCAGGAGTCTTTGATGCTAGTACTGTTTTACCTACTGACTAGCCAAAACATTTATCTCCTGGGTTTAGTTCACTGGTCTGAAAATCTTGTGGGGGAAATTTACTAATACAAGGTTAAATTAGTTTCTGGTCTGAAGTTCTAAGTCAGAAAATTAATATTTTTCTCCATACTCTGATTTTTAAATTTCCCTTGTAGTTTTTCAGACTGGAGCTGTAGAGAAGGGAGAATGTGGTTGGGTCAGGAAGTGACAACTAAGGCTGTGGGGAGTGTGTGGAGAACCACTGGTTAACTCCCTCTATTCTTGGCCTAGACCACCCATATTGCCCTGCAGAGTAGCCTTTGTTCTTCATTTTTTCTGCCTCCAGCTTCTCCACCTAATAACCCATGTTTTCAAAAACTAAGCAATTTACCTCTCTGATAAGACTGCACCTGACTGGTTACACACACTCATACATACACACAAGCACACAATTTGTATCTATTTCTTGTATTCACTTGGAAATTTTAAACAGAAACCAAAGAGAGACTTTATAAAGCCACAAATATATCCTATTGCCATATAGGAATCCACTGAAGTAATTGAATTCTTATTAAAGTTACTTTCCACAAAATCTATACTGTAAAATAGAATTTGTATTCTAGAATCCTTTTTTATTGAAAATTAAATCATCAGGCTGGGGATTTAGCTCAGTGGCATAAGCGACTGCCTGGCAAGTGTGAGGTCATGAGGTCGATCCCTGGAACCACAAAAAAAGAGAAAATTAAATCATCAATGATTTTAATATAGCATAACTTGAATAATCAAGTACTCTATCCCCAAATAAATGTTTATACAGTCTGTAATGAGTTGGAAGGTATTCTCATGAATGTGTGTGTAAAGATATACGATATTTGAAAGGAAGGTAGGTTCTACTTTCTTAATTTTTATCATCCATAGTAACCCTATTGAAGGAGCAAATGCAAATTATGTTTGTTTAATTCAAAAATGATAATGTCATCTTTCAATGCACTTTGCACAAATCTGTATTTATTTTTTCTATTACACACAACTGCTGGTATTTAAATATAAATAAATATCATTGCTATGCATGTTTCCTGTTTTCTGTTGTTTATTTTTATGCATAGTATTAAAGTATTAATAGACCCTCAAAGCGAAATGAGAATTTAATTAAATCTTCCTTTTTTGATTAAAATTTAGCTATCAATGTATCGACTTCTATAAGATTAAAATACATTGGCCTGTGACAAATGAAAGCATTTCTCCACAAATCTGTTTCACCATGGGCAGAACTAATGCTCTATAATTCCAACAATGAAATTGTTTTCATTTTCCTTTTCTCTTTTTAAATAATGTCTGCAAAGGTATTAAAATCTGAAGTTTATTCATTCTTCTTTATTCCCATTTCATAATCTTCTGTTGAAGATATTTACAAAATTTTCCTTTAAAGGGTTTAGTCTGTATTTGAAAAGTATAGTAGCTTAAAATTTTATGGATCAAATATTCTGCAAGAAAGCTTCTAAAACATAAGTAGCTAAAGTAGTAGAGGGTACGAATAGATTTTCCTACAACAAAAGGGGTGCTCCCAAGTGCAGGAGAGCTTTGTTTCCCTCCATAAATATGTCCCAACCAAGCCTTAAATGAGTCTCAGACACCACTCCCATAATTACCACGAAACAACGAAGACAAAACAAGGTCTATAAAACCACTTCCATCCAAATCCTTCCTTCATCTTACATCCTTCAAAGACTTCCTAGTTACCCTGGCTTTTGGTATGATGCCCCTGTCAAACCGGCTTCCTTCCTCTGCCTTTATTCTTAAATGTGATCTTAATTATGAGAAGAAATTGCTTCCGTATGGAAGCCATATGGCTTAAAAGCATCTTCCCCCCCCCAAAAAAAGCAAAGAGAATGTTATGCTATTGTATGCAAGTGTGGTAAAGGGTACATCTTCTACTTTGCCACTGTTCCTCTCGTGCATAGCTGTTGCCCATTCATTCCTGAGCCTTCCGTAAAAGTGGCTGCCATTTAGTGCCACATGTCAGAGCCATAATAAATTATTTCATGTTTCTAAGAGGAACTATTTCAGATGAGATCGGGTACGTTCAGGGCTGTAGACATGAGGAACTATTTCAAAACTATGATTTAGTGATTTTTCAGGAAATGCATTGCAATTCTCAATCTTACTGTAATATGTTGCTCAACCAAATTAGTTTAAGTAACTTTACTAAGGCTTGTCAACCCCCAGTATGCTAGAAAAGAGTT